TTTCCACAGTCAACCTAACATCAGTACAGGATGAGAAGCCCTCAACAAGCAAGGAGGCCAATCCTCTGTTTGCCAAAAAGGTTCCACAAGATAAGTACATCCCATGTGCGGAGGTCTTCATGACCACGCTGGAGGAACAATGGTCCTCACTTGCAAGCCCACCGGCACCAAACAGCGCGGAAAGAAAGCTTTTCAACCTATCTCCCTCCTTCTCTAACATGTTAGAGGTTCCCACTGTCGATAACCCATTAATCTCATTATTTTCTACCTCCGCGATTCCAGGAGACATGGCGGAGGTCTTGAGGCCTGAGGAGAAGAAATTTGAACACTCACTCCGGCGTTCCCATATGGCTGCAGCCTGGGCGGCCAGAGCAGCCACTTCCTCATCTTTCTTCGCGAGGGCCAGCATCATGTGGCTGAGGGAACTGCAAGGCACGGTGCCTCCAGACCAGGTCAGAATACACCAAACATTGGCCAAGCTCCTCGCGGCCTCGCAATTTGTCTCAGACGCTTCACTGTACGCAACAAAGTATGCGGCTAGATCCATTGCGGCCACAGTGGCCTCACGTAGGCTACTATGGCTCAAAAATTGGAAGACAGACCTGAGGTCCAAATGGCGTCTTTCGACGTCCAAATACAGTGGAGTAGACCTATTTGGTTCCATTCTGGACCCACATGTCAGCGAAGGCAGAGACAAGAAAAAAATCCTAGTACACCCATCAAAGAAGTTAGACAGGAGAGGCAGTCAGGACTTCCGGAGACAGGGTTCCCGCCCAGGAAGCCCCTGGGAATGGAGGCAGCCCTTTCGATCAGGGCAATCCTGGGACTGGCCCAGAGGCTCACGATCCTTCTACCCCAGACAGGATCGAACCCAGGATCGCCAGAGCCCGGGAGCCAGGGGCCAGTTCCAGTCCAGACGCCCATATAGGGGAGCGGGAGGCAGATCCTTTAAACGCACCAAGTGACGCCAAACAGGATACTCCCATTGGGGGTCGGTTAGGAAATTTCATCAGGGTCTGGGAGCAGACCACGACCGACTCCTGGGTCCTGGAAACGATCAGACATGGCCTGACCTTAGACTTCTGCTCTCCCCCACCAAACCGGTTCATCAGATGTCCCATCTCCAGAAGAGCACACAAGACGAGGCTGATAACTTCGGCTATAGTCCACCTCCTGTCAATTCAGGCCATAGAGAAGGTACCAAAGGAGGAGGAGGGAAGAGGATTTTACTCTATCCTCTTCGTCATCCCAAAGACATCAGGAGGGTGGAGAGCAATCTTGGACCTGAAGGGCCTGAACTATTTCATAAAGTACAGGAGGTTCAAGATGCACTCCTTAAAGTCCATACTAGCCAGCGTCAGGGAAGACGATCTACTATCCTCAATAGATCTCACAGAGGCGTACCTACACATCCCCATCCACCCCAGCTACCGGAAATTCCTCAGATTTACCTACGCGGGGCGACATTACCAATACAGGGCATTACCCTTCGGACTGTCGTCAGCACCAAGGGTATTCACAAAGATCTTAGCTGTACTAGCGGCCCATCTCAGGTTGATTCCGGTTCGCGTCCAGTTTTATCTGGACGACATCTTGATTCAGTCCAGATCTCGGGAACAAGCAAGGACAGATCTCAAGACCACAATCCGAACCCTACAGGGGCACGGATTTTCGGTCAATCTAAACAAGAGCCACCTCATTCCCTCAAGGAGACTGCAACACCTGGGCGCGGTGATAGACACGTCACAGTGCAGGGTATTCCTTTCCCAGGAGCGACTGATCAGCATATCCAAGCTAATCCACCAAATTCAAAAGATCAGGAGAGTGCCCTTGCTACAACTCTCGAAGCTCCTGGGAAAGATGATATCTTGCATGGGCATCATCCCATGGGCAAGGCTCCACTCGAGGGAGTTGCAGTGGTTCCTCCTACCCTACCAGAGGAGGAACCTCAGCACCTCAAACAGGAGTGTGCTGGTACCAGCACAGGTGATGAAATCACTAAAATGGTGGCTATCCCCCATGACACTCAAGGGGAGCATATTCAGGGAACCGAACAGGGTCACGCTCACGACAGATGCGAGCCTGTTCGGATGGGGAGCCCATCTGGGGACCCAGATAGCACAGGGCCAGTGGGGTCAAAAGGACCTGTCACACAGCATCAACTGGCTAGAGCTCCGGGCCATACACCTGGCCCTCCGTCATTTCTCACACCTAGTAACGAGGAGACACGTCCTCGTGCTTACAGACAATGTAGCAGCCAAGGCACATGTAAACAAGGAGGGAGGAACGAGATCAGTGGAACTAATGAAAGAAGCATTGGTTCTGGCTCGGTGGGCAGAAGCCAATGTGAGTTCCATCAGAGCGGAACACATCTCAGGGGAAACAAACACCCAGGCGGACTCCCTGAGCAGAGCCAAGGTGGACCAGTCGGAATGGCGTCTGGACCCGGCTCTCTTCGAGGAGATCTCCCGGAGGTTCGGACAACCGCACCTAGATCTATTTGCCAACCACAAGAATACACAACTCCCCAGGTTCTTCTCCAGATTCCCGTCCCCGGGATCGGAGGGAACGGATGCTCTCAGGTGCCGGTGGCCGGCGCAACTCCTGTACGCCTTCCCACCGCTGCCACTAATACCGGCAACCATACGCAAGATGATCCTGGAGGGCGCAGAAATGGTCTGCATTGCCCCTCACTGGCCACGGCGCCCGTGGTTTGCCGACCTCGTGGACCTTTCGATATCACCTCCGTGGAGGATTCCCCCGGACAGGGTAAAACTCAGTCAGGGCAAGCTTGTACACCCAGATCCCCAGTGGCTACAACTAGCCGCTTGGCATTTGAGCGGCAAAGCTTAACTAAACAATCTTATTCTGCAGGGGTGATATCGATCATACAGGCATCACGAAGGGCGTCCACCAATAGGATTTACGACGCTACATGGAAGGGATTCTGTAGGTGGTGCGCTTCGCTTCACCTAGACCCGACCGCAGTATCTATCCCCAATATCCTAGACTACCTATTGGAGGGTCTTAATAGGGGCCTGTCAGTCAATACCATCCGCAGACAGATATCGGCCCTCTCAACCGTACTCTCCTGCGACAACTTAACTTCCCTAGCACAACATCCAGCGATTAATGCCTTTTTAAAAGGGGCGTCTAACACAAAGCCCCCAGTCATACACAGGTACCCGTCCTGGAACCTGCCTAGGGTCCTTCTAGCCTTGACATCTGCACCCTTCGAACCTCTTGAAACATGCTCACTCCATCACCTATCACTGAAGGTAGCTTTCCTTGTGGCAATTACTTCGGCAAGGAGAATTTCAGAACTAGCAGCTCTGTCAGTAAGGAAGGATCTGTGTACCTTTTTCAAAGACAGGGTCGTTCTTAGACCAGACCCGACCTTCATCCCGAAGGTAAATAGCACCTTTCACAGATCTCAGGAACTTACGCTTCCTGATTTCTGTCCAAGACCCAAACATAAGCTAGAACACAGATGGCACAAGCTAGACGTACGGAGAGCACTGTGTTTCTACGTGAAACGCACCTCGGCTTTCCGAAAGACTGAAGCATTATTTGTGTCCTTTCAACCATCAACTATGGGAAAGAAGGTATCTTCTTCCACCATAGGCAGGTGGATCAGAGCCTGCATAGCGCAGGCCTACGTCTCACAGGATTTGCCAGCACCCACTCAGGTGACTGCCCACTCAACTCGGAGCGCAGCCACATCTGCGGCGTGGCTAACGCAAGCTCCGGTGGAAGAGATTTGCAGGGCCGCAACCTGGTCCTCACCTTCGGTTTTCATTCGACACTACCGTTTAGACTCCCTAGCAGCAGCAGACGCGGCTTTTGGCAGAAGAGTTCTTCAACAGGTCGTATCTGCTCAGAGTTCGGTAGCCTAGACATTCCCTCCCAGGGGGACATGAGGGCTTTGGTATGTCCCATCCATTTGGACTCTACAGTCATCCTGCTGGAGAAGGGGCGTTGTCTTACCTGAACGCCTTTTCTCAGCAGGATGATGTAGAGTCCAAGCCCACCCAGAGGATAGGTCTAGGCAGGGATATAATAAAGATATAATAAAGAGCTGCAAGGTTAATTCCAACAAAGTTTCTCGCCTAAGTCAAAACTGGGGTCACGCCCAAAGGAAGGGGTGTGGCCGAAGTTTTTACCCAGTCTGCCAGGCAGGAAGGCCGTCATAGAACCCATCCATTTGGACTCTACATCATCCTGCTGAGAAAAGGCGTTCAGGTAAGACAACGCCCCTTTCAATCAGCGGGTTTCTGGCTATATTAGGTATACAATTTCCAGAAGTCTAAATTAGTGTGACTAATACCTGCTTCAAGTTATAAAGAATGCTAGTGCCAATCTATAACACTTGCATAATAAACAAATTGTAAAAAATTAGGAGTCCTCAACAATATCAAGAAAATATTTTAATGTGTATAGTAAGGATAATTTTTAGATGCAAGTTCCACTCACATAATTTCTAATAATGTGACAGAATGTATTTATTGGACAAATTCCAAAGAGGCTCTTTGTGTGCTATGTTTACATATTGAACTCCTTTTCAAAGTTTAAAATAGCTTCTTTTTTTACAATATGTTTGATTACTTTAGAAACTCTTTTGAAGTGTCTGAATATCATATATTGAAGCAGAATCAGAGCTTTTTTTCTCATAGAGCACCCAAAACAGAGTTCCGGCACCTTTTTTGGATGGAACCTTGTAGGATAAGCAAGGCGGGTTGTATGACGTGTGTGAGTTCTGGCACCTTTTTTTTTTTTTTTAAGAAAAAAAGCACTGAGCAGAATTGGTGTAGAAATGCAGAGTTAGCTGGGAAAGAAGAGCTTCTGAAGCAGCAATAAAAGCCTGGAAAAATTGCAGATACTTTAATTATTTGAAAATAGATACTTCTCACATATTTGTGCATGTTCTTTTTAAGCCATTGCTTAACCCTGGTATTAATGTACAAACAATGATTTTTATATTTCTTCCTTTTTTGTTTCAGGTGCATTTTGCTTCCACTTCTGGGAACCAAGAGCCCCCAACAAAGTTACTTTCTCTTGGTGGATTCGGTAGATGAGGGGTGCAATATTGCTGAAGGTGACCAGACCTCTACAACCTTATCTGGAACTATAGCTGAACTTCTAGCTACTCACTATGAATTTTTCCCCCCATGGTTGCTGCTCCTCTGTTCTGCTCGAAAGCAGAATAAAGCTGTCACTAAGTTGTTTACAGGTAAGTACATGTTTTAGTGACATAACAGTTATTTCTAATTTGTGCAGTGTTTTAAGAGGATTATATAAGAAGCAATATACAGAAAGTAGTATGAAGAATACTGTATATTAAAACATAGATAACTATACCATTAACTTATATGAACAATCTATATTCTTGGGATATGTACATTTTGTTTAGGATTTATAAACTCCAGATTTTACAACCTGATTGACCTTATTGTTATTTGACAAAAAGAACTTAAATGGGATCAGACTTGGTTTGTAATTAAATGTGAAATCACCAGGAAATCTTAGGATAATAGTCTAGATCAGTGGTTCTCAACCTATGGGTCGGAACGACCATTTCATAGGGGTCGCCAAACAAGGCTATCCACCATTTTTTTCCCCTTTTCTTTGGCCACGCCCCTGGCATCCGATGATGTATAAGTGGTTGGGGGTCACCACAACACGGGGAACTGTATTATGGGGTCGCGGCATTAGAAAGGTTGAGAACCACTGGTCTAGATTGTTCTTACCAAAGAGCACCTGGAAAAAGGCAATGGCAATTGACTTTCATACCTAGATTTTCCCATTTAGACCCCAGAGTCAAACGTGAACTAAACAAATGTTCTGTTTAGTCTAAATATAAATGCAGGTATTCCACAACTTATGACCATATGTTTAACAATGTTTCAAAGTTGGAAAAAAAATAAAAACCTGTCCTCAGGTTACAACTATCATATTACCCCAGCCAGTCATGTGATTGCTATTGGGGCACTTTGCAACCAGCTCAAATTTACCATCGTTGCAACATCTTGTTATGTGATCATGATCTGCAGCTTCTGATAAGCAAAATCAATTGGGTAGCTGGATTTGTTAAGCTTAACAACCACGTGACTTGCTTAATGACCCCAGTGATTCATTTAATGGCCACAGTAAAAATGGTCATAAAATTAGGTCCAGTCACATGATTACTTTCTTAACAACTGCAATCCTTAAGAACCAAAATTATGGGCTTAACTAACCATAATTTACAAGTCGTAAATCAAGGACTACCTACATTTGAAAAGTACTGGGTTTAAGAATGGTGGTACATACATTTGTTTGTCTTTCTAAACATTCTAGATTTATTACTTTACATTTTAGGAATGGAAATTGCATTTTGCAAGTTTATTGAATGGGTGTAGCTGCATTTGATTATGGGAGTGCTGTTGGCAAAAGCTATTGGGAGTCTTCTACAACTTGTTGTTCCAGTCTTGACTGACTTGTAAGCTTATTTTGTCACTCTGCTGCTATTGTTCCTGAGACTTTTCTTAAATGCAAAGAAGTGTAAGCAGTGGATTTCTAGCTTGCCTACAAAGTTGCTTATTTTAAGAAAAGAACTTCAGAAAAACCTCTTTTTTTAAAAAAAGGCAAATTAGTAAGACAAGCAATATGTTTATTTTTCTCTGTTAATAACACATGTAATATCTAATTGGCACCAATGCTCTGGTAAAAAAATGTTTTGGTAAAAAAAAATGTTATGGTAAAGGAAAAAAAGGTGTGGATTGGGGGTACTGAGAAAGAAAAGATTGAAATAACTCCCTATGACAGGAATTCATTTTGTTTTGTGTTGTATTTTTTTTCTTTCTTGCGTTTTTAAGGAATTAATTTTCTATTCTCAGAGCAAAAGTTCACAACTTGAAATGAATGAATCATAATTAAACTTCTAAAACAATAAAATATATGGGTCCAAATATCAGATAGGTTGATTTAGCTAATGAAAGAAGAGAGGAAGACAGTATCTGGTCCTCTTAACTTTACTTGAATTGCTTTACAATTATGTAGTAGAACTCATGGAATCTAAACAAACATTTTGCACAATCATGTCTTGGTGTATATGTATACATGCATATGGTTAAACAAGATTTTCCTTAAAACTACCCACAGCTATTTTAGCTTTGCCTCAATGATGAAGTGTAAGAGTGAACATACAAAGCTATGCAACATGCTCATTCATGCTTCCTGTTGCTTTTTGTTTTACCTTTGCTATTTGTCTCTTATTGCATAACTTTCTTACCTTATCCTACTTCACTATTACAGAGAAAAATGGTTACATATATATACATCTGTCCTCAAATACAATATAAGATCCTCAATTTTTTAGAAATCTAGAATAAGCCAAGATAGATAAGAAACTCCAGTGGCTTAATGGCTCTACCTGAATCTTTTCTGTTGTAGAGATGTACAATCAAAGCTTTCAAGAGTGTCTTCCAAAATTATGTCTGTATGCAAATCTTAATATAAGTGAACTATGTCAACCAAGGTATTTGGATAAGCCATGAAATATCAGGAGATCTATGATTATCTATTGAACTATTGGAGGCCATAGGAGGCTCCTGAATATCATTTGTACATTTAATAGAACAATTTTATGTTGGGGAGGAACTAGGACAGTGGGGAATTAGTGTTAATTGTTGGACAGAATTAAGAAATAACCTGGTGAATTGTGGAACAGATTCACTGAGTTTGGGAAAGGCTCTCTGGTCATTTGTTTTCTGACCAGATAATATGTGTTTGCTAAGCGCAGAGAGAGAGGTCTGTCTATCTGAAGGCCCGCAATGTAAGAGCACCAATGAGAAAAGAACACTGGCAGCTGTCCAAGAGGAGATGTGGTGGGCTGCCCTTCAGAAGGACAAGAAAAACTGTACTTGTCAATAGTCATGCATTAATGGAAGATTTAAATTAAAGTGGAGAGAGATATGCAACGACTCAGTGGAGAATGCTGGGCATTGAGAAAATGGCTGTATACCATAATGGTGGAGCCACTAGTCCAGGAATGTCAAAGTCGGGACGTCACATGATGTCGTGCAATGTATCGGGCCAGTTTTGCCAACAATGGGGTGGGTGCGGCTTCCATGTGACGTGTCCAACCCGTGGGCCGGCAATTTGACACCCCTGCACTAGTCAGAAAGCAGTACTTAAAATCCAACACATCAGTGCTAACTAGATAGATTTGTAAACAACAATCTTTCTAATCTTCAGTGTCTATACACTATTGCCCAGAGAATACATAACAAGAAGACAGAAGTAAATACTAACCTGGGAAATCAGATATTGCTTGGTTAAAAGAAATCTCATGGGATGAGAATCAAGATTAGATAACACTAGTGAAAAGATACGGCTTGTTCAAAAGATATATACCCTATAAAGAAGGAGGCAAAATAGCTCTGTATGTATAATAGCAATAGGCTTGTGAACAAATATATGCCCCCAAACTGGAAATCTTGTGGAAAGCATCTGCATCAAATTAAAAAGAAAAAGAAATAAATCTGACACTGTTGTAGAAATTTGCTGTTGGCCAGTTACTAAAGCAAAGGAAGAGGACATTCAACAAATTGATTTAGGCAATGGTAGTAAATGATATACTCAAATGATTCTTAACAAGATTCTTAACAAGCCTTAAGAAAGTCCAGCTTTAATTCTTTTTTCTCTTGCTGCCAATTTCTTTTTTTTAAAAAAGAAGAAATCATGGTGCCAGTTATCTTAGATTTAATACTAATGAGCAGAAAATAATCACTGAATAGATGGAAGGTATTTAGCATCTTGGGAGAGCACAGCAATATCAATGCAGCATAGAATTGTTTGAAATCTGGAAGAAGAAATAAGTTGGTAAATGAACTTCCAAAACCGGATTCTAAAAACATTATGTACAAACATATTCCTTATTAGAAGAAAATATAAAAAAAGCTTTTAAGGGCTTCAATAGATGAACTGTAGAGTACTTGTTATAATTAGATCCAGTTTAGTGCAGTGATGAAGTGACATAAAACTTAAGTCCTGGTCCTGTCCAGCCAGCGGTGATCTTGGGCCAAACCCATATATTCAGCCCTAGGAAGGAGGCAACAGTAAAGCATTTCTGAAATCCTGTGAAGAAAACTACAGGCAGTAGTTCAGATATGGGTGAGATAGATATGTAGATCACAGATGTTGAGAAACAAAAAATAAAATAAAATAAAGAAATTGTCTCAAGATCTGATACAAAAGGAAGAATAAAAATTGGCAGCTTATTGTTATAGTAAAGGAGCCAGAAAATCCAAACCTCAGAATAAGATGAGGCTAATAAACGCTCTAAAGTACTGAAACAACAAAGATCACCAAACTGAAATTAAAAGACAAAAAAAAAAAAGCTGATTTTGAGGAAGAAATTAGAACGAGCTGTGAAACAGATGTGACTTGTTTTCCCTGGAAGATTAGTGATAATAGACTTTATTAAAGAACCCATCTTTAGGAACAGATTTTCACTTTTGAAATCCTTACATTCACATTCACCTTTAAAAAAAACTATGCTATGAAACATTCAATCTTGTGGAACAGCATCTATTTACTTTAGCTTGCGTATCAAGTAGCATCCCATATTTAAACTTTATTAAATGAAAAACCACAATTTTGTGGTAATAAATATTTGTAGACAACCATATGGTCCAACTTTGCATTAGAAAATTCCAAGTGACTTTCCTTAACTTAGTCTTGTATTCTAAATTCTAAGTTCAATACCATCTCTATCTTGTCAGATTAAATTTGCTTTACATCTGATATTTCTTCAATAACATTTTTTGGATATAGTCTGTTCATAGAAACAGACATTATTATCGAAATGGTTGATATTGTGGCTACCATTTTCTGATTCCATTTTTTAAAAGTCTCCTTCACTATTTTTATTGGCATAAGGATCTTGTAAGAAATTTTCTACCAAAATCCTTTAATCCTGCCTAGCGTACAATTCTTGAAATCATAAAATTATTTATGTTGTGTCTTATAAAAATCAAAACAGAATTTATTTCCCATGAGAAGTTGTTTGTACTTTATAATTAATTCCAAAATCTTACTATAAATTTCAATATTTCAATTTTATCTGAGCCCTTAGTCAATTTATAACTTTTTAAGATCAAAATTTTATTTAGTTTTTTGCTGTTTATATCAGACTGTAAATTATTGAGCTCATAATTAGTGTTTTTTCATTCAGGAATGAAGACAGACTCATCAGGTGTTGTCATGCACAAGGTCTTTTCAATATTAAACAAAAACCAAGAACATGGGGACTTAGTCGCAAGCTGACAGGAGGAAAATTCAAAACCAATATTAGACAGTATTAGTTCACAGAAAGAATAGCAGAAACCTGGACCCAATTTCCAACAGAGGTAGTGGGTCAGTTATCAGTAACTGAGTTTAAACATGCTTGGGATAAACGCATGTCCGTTATCTGACAAAAAAATTAAAAATAAAAAAAAATTCAAAGAGCAAACTCTGGATCACTAGGTCTTTGTCTGCCATCAGTTTTCTATGTTTCTATGTTTCTGTAGTTAATTCCATTGTTTCCCATTGCTCAAACCCATGGAAACCTCTTGTCCACAGCCACGTTTAGGCAATCTCCTGTCTTCTCCTTATCTTTCCGACCTGTCCTTATCCATAATAGTCCCAAGCATCTGATCTACTCACCACTTCCTTGGTCTTTGTCACAATCAGTTCACTGCCCCAGCCCTAGAAATTTCAATGCAACGTCCCGAGCCTGCTTTTGCAGGCTCAGGACACAACAGCTAACTTAATAATAATTGCATAATTTTGGTTGATAGAATTGTTAATTATATTAGTGTTTTGTGGTTATAGAAGGAAAATTTATTATCAACAATAATTTTGCAATTATGGTAAAGTTATGGAAGCAAAATTGTAGGTGGCAAAATCAGTCCATGGCTTCTAACTTGCCTTAGGAATGAGAAAGCATTCTTCATTATCATGATATTGCCTACTTGGTTGATTGCTTGCAGATCTTTCATTACCCAAATTCAGAGACCATCAAGGCTCCACATTCTACTTTATGTCCACATTGTGTATTGATTTCCTCATAGAGATAAAACAAGGGTAAAATATTTGCCTCAATAGTTATCTATCAAAATTGCCAGTTGTCTTATAAATTAAGATACTGATATTGTTAAGTATTACTTTAACCCATTATTGATAGATTTTGTTATTTTTATTGTAAATTAATGGGATTGAATAAAAAGAAACATAAATTATTTTAAGGTTGAAAAAGAAGCAATACATTATATTAAGCTCAAAAGAACAGACTAAGGTTTGGGAAGATTTGGCCTGCATTGTTATTAAAGTAGATCTACACAGAATTTTGGGCTTTGTGATATATATATATATGTTCAAAAGGATAGTATTGAAGTAAGCATATATATTCGAAAGGATAGTGTTGAAATTTACCCAAGGCTCACAAAAGCCACAACCAGAAGCAGTAGAATCTCAGAAATATTGTGCTTTGGGAAAAATAAGACATAAATGTATTTTTAAAACTAGAGAGCAGAAAACTGGAAGACCCTGTTTTACTTCATATTATTAAGTATAAAGGATGATGGATGTGTCTTGTGATGTCCTTGTCAGAATGTTTTGAGGAAAACCAATATGTATTTCAATCTAAACTGCTTGAGAGAAAAGGGTCTGAAGCTACAGTCTTCAGTTATACTGTATAAAATCTGTGAACCCAGAGGTCTCAAGAGCAAGTGTGGCATATTGTACAGACTTATTTTGCAAAAAATATAGTTATTGAAATTACAGATCCTCAAACATTCCTATGGAAATGCAAATTCCATCTACCAAAAATCTGTCTGGTTTCTGCATACTCGCTTATCTTGGAGTAAGGACCAAAGTCAATTGAAATCCTTTGATATTTTTTTTTCTTGTTGATCTCGCCTTTGAACTTTTATTATTTCAGATTAGTGACTGCATCCCAGGTTTAAATTAGACTGACTTAGACTAGAATATGTTATCAGTAGATATGTTTGCCAGAAGAGTAAGGAATGTTGCTTAAATACATGCATTCAAGTTATACAGAAGAAACTAATGGGTTCCATCGCATCTTGCTTCATACAATTATTATTTGGGGAAAGTTGTACTTATTATTACCAGATTATAGAAAAGGTGTGGTGCAGAGTTAATATATACAAAAGGGAAGTAAATCTCCCAGAACTTTTCATAATTTATCTGATGTTGTTATAGACTTCAGCATTCAGGATTATGAAGTCTGCAGATATTTGTACCTATCCAAAGTCTGAGGTTTTTAAAAACTGAATGTTACTTTCCCATTCTGCTTCCACTGGAAATATTATTTAACAATATCTGACTCAAGATCCTGCAGGAAAAGGGCAGTGTGGACAACCGTGGGATCTGGCAGGGTGAGAGCTGTGAACCATAAACACAAAGCTTTCGCTGTGTCCCTGCACAACAGCTACAGTGCCCTTGCTGACCTTAATAGGGACATTAAGGAGACTTGTAAAGGTATTTGTGAAGATAACTCAAATAAGCAGGGGATTGTGGTCCGAGATGAAGAACTAGATTTTGACAGGGAGAAGTGTGAATCAGGTATTGCAAATCAGTCATGCAAGAATAGAAAGGCTCCCAAAAAGAGAAGCTACCTTCTGGTAGGTGATTCAATTATAAGGGATGTAAATTTAGGAAAGGACACAGAGGCTTCGAAAGAGGTCAGGTGTCTTCCAGGTGCTACTGCCAGTAGGGACAAGAAGCGCATTTCTAAAATAATCAAGAATGGCAGCAAGGACTGTGATGTGGAGGCTATTGTACATCTTGGCACTAATGATCTATCCCAAAAAGATGTACTCTCTGTGCAGAATGATTTCCAGAGCTTGGGGAAGGAACTTAGCAGAATAGGCTGTAGGCTTACTTTCTCAGAGGTTTTACCAGTGGATAAGGAGCAAAACGGAAAAGGCCAGCGCATAGCACAATTCAATATGTGGCTAAAGGAGTGGTGTAAAGGGGAAGGCTTCGGATATATTAGTCACGATTCAGTAGCTGGTACAATCAAAAAGATGTACAAAGAGAGGTTTCATCCATCACAAAGGGACCTGAGTTACCGGCTATAAAATTCACAGATCTTTCTGAGGGAAATTTAAACTAAACAGCGGGACAGGGAGTAATGATACGGAAACAACCCTGTCCGGCAATTTTAAAAAAACTATAGGCTATCAGTGATGTAGCATAGATGGTGGGGACAAGAATACCAACCTTGCTACCAATCAAAATGAAGCCTCTAATAGCGAGTGCCACATAAAGTGCAATAACCAAATAGGTGGTAAGACAATAGGGGAACTCAGGCACCACACAGGTTATGTAGAAAGGAAACACAGGGCCACCCACAAAGGACTCAAATGTTTATACACCAAAGCACAGAGTATGAACAGCAAACAGGGTGAACTAGAAATTCAGGTTAACGAGGGCAGATACGATATTGTTGCCATTACGGAAACATGGTGGGATGAAACTCACACATGGAACACACAGCTAGAGGGATTTAAATTATTTAAAAGAAACAGACCAAATAAAAGAGGAGGTGGAGTTGATCTCTATATAAGAAATAACTACATCTTCACAGAAATAGAGTACAACAATGATAAAAACTGTCTGACGCATTGGTCAATATAAAAGGGGGGGGCGGAAAGACCTGCCATAGGTGATTACTACAGACCACCAACAAACAGAGGAAATTAGATGAAACTTTTTGTGTCAGCTAAGAAGGTATGTAGGCAAGCACACCACCATAGTATGGGGGAGACTTAATTACACGAAATTAAACTGGAGACAACTCCGCACAAGTGGAAGATCAAATCAGGTTTTTTTCCTGGCAACAACCTAGCAGACAAACTTTGTCTCCCGCTCTTCCCTGTCTCATGTTTTTTTTTTTTTTCCTTCTTCCTGTCTCCCAAAAAGTAGAGAAGGGAACTAGGGGATTAGCCATTTTGTATCTAATTCTCACGAACAGAGATGAAATGATAGACGGTGTTGAAGCCATAGGAACCCTGGGAGGAAGTGATCATGCAATATTAGAATTCAACATTATAGAAGCACAACCAATAGAACACAGTCAAACTAGAGTCTTGGACTTCAAGAGAGCTAATTTCAATAAAATTAGAGAGGGCTTGGGAAGGATTCCATGGATGAGAATCCTCAAGGGGAAAACAACTCAAGAAGCTTGGAAATTTTGAAAAATGAGATAATAAAAGCACAGTCTAGCACAATACCAACAAAGAGGAAAAACAACAGCTCTCAAAAGAAACCAGCATGGCTGCATAAAGAACTCTCTGACAAATTGAAAGATAAAAAGGACAAGTACAGAAAGTGGAAAGAGGGGAACATAACTAAGTCAGAATCTCAGCAAATAGCCCGAGCCTGCAAAGATGAAGTGAAGAAAGCCAAGGCTCAAAATGAACTAAGGCTTGCGACCAAAGTCAAAAATAACCAAAAAAGCTTCTTTCAACATGTAAAAAACAAGAAAAAAGTGAAGGAAATGATTGGTCCATTAGTGGGTGGAAGTGGCAAGAAGGTGACAAGCAACAGGGAGAAAGCAGAACTATTTAACTCATTTTTTGCATCTGTCTTTACACAAAGGGAAAAAACAGACCAACCTATCAAAAATAGTGCCATAAACAACAAAACAGAAACACAAGTTAAGATAGGCAAGAAAATGGTTAGGGAGCACCTGTCCAGCCTAGATGAGTTCAAATTGCCAGGACCAGATGGATTACACCCCCGAGTTCTCAAGGAACTGGCAGATGTGATATCGGAGCCACTGAACTATATTTTTCAAAGATCCTGGAACACAGGGGAACTACCAGAGGACTGGAAAAGAGCTGATATAGTTCCCATCCTCAAAAAAGGAAAAAAAATGGATCCAGGAAATTACAGACCTATCAGCCTGACCTCAATACCTGGGAAGATCCCGGAAAAGATAATCAAACAACGAATCAACGAACACCTAGAGGCAAACAAAGTCATTACTAAAAGCCAACATGGGTTTGTCAAAAATAGATCATGCCAGATAAATCTTATTGCATTCTTTGACCAAGTGACAAAATTAGTGGATCAGAGGAATGCTGTGGACATAATTTACTTGGACTTCAGTAAGGCATTTGATAAAGTAGATCACAACCTACTACTTGACAAGATAGAAAATGTGGGGTAGACAGCATCACCACCAGATGGATCCGTAGCTGGCTGACCGGCCGTACTCAGCGAGTGGTCCTCAATCGGAACTGCATTATTATGGAGGGAGCCAAGTTCGGGGCGTGGTTGGCTTCACCGTGTAGTGGGGTGCCCAGGGGCTCTGTTTCTGGGGCCCAGTTACTCTTCAAACATCTTCATCAACGATTTGGATGAAGGGATAGATGGGGAACTCATCAAATCTGCAGGATGACACCAAGCTGAGGAATAGCCAACACTCCAGAGATAGGCTTCAGCTACAGGAAGGATCTGGACAGACTTGAACACGGCACAACTAAACAAAATGAAATTAATGGTGAAAAAAAGCAAGGTTCTACATGAGGCAAGAAAAAACCAAACCCTGACAAATACCAGCATAGGTGGCACCATGCTCAATAGTAGTAACTGTGAGAGGGACCTCGGAGTCCTAGTAACAATCACCTAAATATGAGCCAGCAGTGTGCTGCAGCTGCCAAAAAGGCCAACACAGTGCTAGGCTCCATTAACAGAGGGATAGACTCAAGATCACGTGAAGTATTAATACCATCTTCAATGCCTTGGTAAGGCCACACTTGGAATACTGCATCCAGTTTAGGTCACCACGATGTAAAAAAGATATTGAGACTCTAGAAAGAGTACAGAGAAGAGCAACAAAGATGATTAGGGGACTGGAGGCTAAAACATATAAGGAACGGTTGCGAGAATTGGGTATGTCTAGTTTAACGAAGAGAAGGACAAGGGGGGACATGATAGAAGTATTCCAATATCTCAGGGGCTGCCATAAAGAAGAGGGAATTAAGCTATTTTCCAAAGCACCTGAAGCCAGGACAAGAAGCAACGGGTGGAAACTAATCAAGGAGAGAAGCAAACTAGAACTAAGGAGAAACTTCCTGACAGTGAGAACAATTAATCAGTGGAACAGCTTGCCTCCAGAAGCAGTAAATGCTCCAACACTGGAAGTTTTTAAGAAGAGACTGGACAGCCATTTGTCCGAAATGGTGTAGGGTTTCCTGCCCGAGCAGGGGGTTGGACTAGATGACCTCCAAGGTCCCTTCCAACTTTACTATTATTATTATTATTATTATAGTGACAAAGGAAATGGATTTTTTTCAAAATAAACAAGAAAAAAGAAACATCACTTCAAAATGTATGGGATATGGCTAAAGCATATTTCAGAGGGTTGGCTATAACCTATGCCGCTAAAAAGAATAAAGAAAAGAAACAACAACAGTTAAAGTTGAAGGAAGAATTCAGAAATTTAGAATCAGAATGAAAAATAGAGTCACAAAAGAAAATACTTAAAAAACAAATGGAGATAATAAAACACAGATTAAATCGAGCTGAGATGGAAATAATGGCTCAACAGATTAAAAGGATTAAACAGAACTTTTTTGAAAATGCCAACAAACTGGGGAGGTGGTTAGTACATGGACTGAAAAAAGAAAAAGAAAAAAAACTGATAAATAAGGTGCAAGATTCAAAAGATGAATTATAGTTTCAAAATGATACAATTAAAAAAATTATCAAAGACTATTACGAGATACAATGCAGAGGAAATTCCAAAAGAAAAAATACAGCAATATTTTAAAAAAGCAGACTTACCAAAAATTTCAGAGAATATTCAAAATATATTAAATGGAAAAATATCAGTGATGGAGATTATAGAGGCTATAAAAAGGCAAAAAATATGATAAGACTCTGGGTCCTGATGGATTACCTGCAGAGCTTTATAAATCATTACAAGATATACTAAGTCCTATATTAAAAGAACTGTGTAATGAAATACTTTTGGAGGCTAAAATATCAAATACATGGATTTGGAAAAGTGGCAGGGTTGAAAATAAACAGAGAAAAGACTAAAGTGCTAACAAAAAATCTAATAGAAAAACAAAGAAACCAACTAGGAAAAAAAAAACAAATCCTCAAATAGTTAAAAAAGCTAAATACTTGGAAATTTATCTAACAGCAAGATGTGTAACAATAAAAGAAGATAACTATGTAAGATTGCTAAAATAACTAAAATTGGATCTGGAAAAGTGTAAAAACTTATAACTTTCAGTGCTGGGGAGATGAAAACGAATATCTTACCAAAAATACTCTTTCTATTTCAAACAATTCCTGTAAGACGGGGAAAGGCCTTTTTTGATGAACTGAATACAATACTGAAATTTATCTGGCAAGGAAAAAAAGCTAGAATTAGACTGAAAATGCTACAA